ACGTCCAAGACGACATTGGTGATGACAGGGATGGATTCGACATTCTCCGCAGACATGTTCATAATTCTGGAGGTCGACCATAGGGCCTTGGTACGTAAACATTTATATTTCCTCTTGATAGGTGTTTATATCCGTGCTCGGAATCACAAGAACATGGCCATGAGAGTCTACATTGTCCGTCTATGTTCCGTACTACCAACGGGACTACTATTGGAGAATACAAAGGCGTGGCATGATCGACATTTCTTTCTGGATCCCGGCTGAGTTCCCCACAGGTTTCGTCAAGCTAATGACGTTAAACAAGCGCTTCTTGGGAGGCAACCCAAGTTTCATTTACTGCTTTCTTGTGTGTTTCGTTTGTGCTTTTTATTTTATTTTTATTTTTGAATAATTGGAGTTTTGGAGTTTTGTGTATTTTCTTGCCAGGGACGAGCTTGTAGCATAGGGGTTGTTGGGCTAACGGAAAAGATTATAGTCCCGAGTTGATCATGGGCGAAATAATTGAACGTGAACGCTTATCCTTATCGGCGCATCTTCGGTTTGCACACTCTTTTCTCTTTTTCTTTTTGGTTTCTTTTGAGTTTTGTGTTAGTTACTAAATTGGTTCATCATGTGAAATTTCTAAGTCTTGATATTTGAACTCTCCGGTTATCTATGGAAGCAATGAGGACATTGCTTCATTTTAAGTGTGGGGGAGTCGACTTTGATTTTGCATGCTTATGTGGTGGACCGGTCTAGTTTTAGGTTTTTTGTGTCGTTAAGCATGTGGTATTGGTGAATTATATGATTTGTTAATAAATGTTTGATGAAATTGGGAAGTTGTGATGACAGACGTATTGATCATTGCCTCAATATTTGATTGCTTTGAGTGACATTTATTTACCTTGTGAGGTTTTTATCCTTACTTTTCTTTCTTGAGAGATATTGGTCGTATTCTCGAATGATTAGAACTTGCCTTGAGTCTATTTGAAAAGAATCGGTTAGAGTTTGACATTGCGAAAATGATTGAGGCGTTTTGTTTGTTAGCTCGTTTTGCCTTGTTCTCTAGTCCAAAAATGATATTCCCTAGTAACCTGTTTGAGCCTTGAGCCGTTTCTTCTCAGCCGTACATATAATGTATTTTGTTGATTGATCTGTGTGATGATCGGTAAAGATGGAGGAGTTATTGAATGAGGTGGAAATTGAGTTGCATTTTATGCTTGACCAAGATAAAAAAAAAAACATATAATACATGAGAGCTCGCAGGACGAATCGATTGGATTCTACTCCGCTTACTTGTTATTCATTTTAACGAGTAATGGGTATTGGGAAACCACTTTAGGACACTTGGATGACCTCCAATGTTTAAACCTAAGGGATATTGTCCTTACGATTCGAGCTTGTTCGGAAATAGTAACTCTCTAAAAAAAAATGAATGTAATAAGTCAAGTAACATTGCAATTCGAATGGAACATTTATGTGTTGTTTGTGGAGATGTTGGTGGATGGTATGTGTGTTATCTTGTTTATTTTGGTCGAGTGGCGGACATTCGAGTATTCTACTACTCGAGAACTTTGATTGTTTATATAAGCTTTTTGTCCATATATATATCCTTACCTTTTCCTACATTCCACATTACAACCTAAGAAGTCCTCTTGATTCAAAAATTTTGAGTTTTGATTGATTCCGAGTAATTTTAGACGATTGGCAAGCATATGTTGAAACGTGAATATCGACCAATTTTGAGTGTACCTATCACATATCCAAGCAAGAAAATGAGTGAGGCATATATAATGATTTACGTGTTGAGAGTTTGTCACTTTAAGGCTAAATCGATATTTGAGGCATATAGTCGTACGGTCGTTGGAATTCGACCCGGTTGAGTTAGACATTTTGAGGCTCTTCTTATTTGAATCCATATCCATGCTCGTATCTTATTTTCTTTTCTCTTTGTTCGGGACGAACAAAGGTATAAGTGTGGGGGAGTTGTTGTGACCATTTTTGTTATGTTTTTTATTCCTATTTTGTTCTTCTTTTTCCCCTGTCTTATGTCTTTTAGTTGGTTTTTAGTTCGTTTTATAGTTTATTGTGTGTTTTCCTTCATTTTGGTTTCCTTTGTGTTTTTCGTGTGTTTTTCTTATTTTTCTTCTTGTTTTTGGTGTGCAGATCGAAAAGACTATGAGGAATAAATTTAGCCCAAAAATCGACCGAGCAATCATGATTGCATAGAAGGATTCGTTGGCGACACTTAGGAAGAAGCGGAGCTCAATTTCGAGCTTGGATGAGTTCGAACGGGCCCAAAACGCGAAGACGCGCGAAGTCGCACGAAACACGTCTTTGGTGTGTTGTTCAAGAGCTATAGGAGAATATGATTTCAAGAATAATTTGTCCATTCAAGCATCATTGAATAGAGGGATTCGTTAGTGACGCGTAGGAAAAAACGGAACTCAATTCCGAGTTCGGACGAGCCCAAACGAGCCCGAAACGCAAAGTCTCGCAGTCCAGCCCAGCTAGCAGCGCTAGCGGGTGCTAGCGGGCTTCTGAAGCTCATTCTTGACCCTAGCGGCGCTAGGGCCCCCCTTAGCGGCGCTAGGGCCTGCTGGAGCCCTCCACTTGGATTTTTCTCACATTTTTCTCCATGTTTTGAGCCACCATGTTCTCCTCCATGTTTTGTGCCCTTTCCTACATGTTTTACTCCATGTCTTGAGATTATGGTGCCTTAAAAATAGGATGAATGTTTGATAAGGAGTAGTATAAAAGGGGGTGAAGTGCAAGACTTCAAACCATCCCTCATGGGAGGAGTTCTTCCTCCTTCTACCTTCTCTTGTTCTTCTCTTGTTCGTCTTAGTTATTTTTCTTGTTTGTATTTTGGAGATTAAGCATTCCACAAGGATTCAGTTTGGCTTGTAAGTTTGATTTCGATTCTCGACTTAGATTAATAGTAAGTTTTCTTCATTTGATTATGATCATGAAAACTTGTGTTAAATCTTTTGTTGTGATTCATTTCATCATGAGTAGCTAATCCTTTAGCTAGGGGCTAGGGGATAATCATTCTGGTTTGTTCTCGTTTATGTGCATGACGATAACTCAATCTTGACGAGTTGGTTTAATTATGAATTGATAAAATCATACTCGATAAATTGTTATAACCTAAGAGTGACACTTAGATTAATTTGTTGATATAATCAAAGAGTGACACTTTGATTTGTGATTGAATATTGATTTGTTGAGTTAGAGGTTATTAATTCTACGAATTGCGACTTTTAGAACCGAGAGGGGAGCAGTCGTAGAATTAATCGATTTCATAACCGATGAGGGAGAAATTGGTGGAACTTGGCTCGTTTAGAGTAGACATGTTCGGAGACGTATTGTCTATGTGTTAATTGTTTCATTAATTAATTCGTTTATGTTTATTCGCATGTTACGAAGAGTTATTGAGGATAAACCGCTAAATGAGTTAATTAGTCGAGTATTTTAACCGAGTTGTTGATTGCCGTTAAATATGTGTAGAACCGGAAACGATTGTCCCCGATACCCTAGCTTGTTTATTTCTCTTTGAATTGTGACATTTATATTTCTTAGATAGAATTATATTTCATATTATTCCTTAGTTGATAATCAATCCAATCCTATCTTGAATTAGAGTGTTTAGGATTTCATTTTCCATTTTATGTTTTGGAAAACCAATTAGCAAACGAAGCTCTGAACCGTCTTTCTTTGAGAGACGACCCGAGTCCGGATAACTCGGTTACAAAATTATCCATCACATAATAGTACACAACACCAATCATTCTTACACATCACATCAACTTTAATTCACTGTTCATCCACTCACATAATCTTAACTACATATTATTTTCAATCATTTCTAATTATTTATCTCCTACTTTTACATCAAATCGATTTTAACTATTTTACTTTAAATATTATTTTAATACATTATTAAAATTCCACTAACAACTAACTACACCATCTTTTTTAAATTTAACTCTAGTTAATCAAAATAACTTATTTTGGACGAATTATTTTGTAAACAAGCGAGTCCGGATGAAGCCTTTAAGCCCACCACCCACCACGCAGGTCCACGTCGACGTCACGCATTGCATGCCCCACATAAATAAATAAATAAAAACTAATTATCGAGATCTTCAAAGTAATTAATTATATACTTACTTATAACTACATCAAAGCTAAGTACTGTTCCATATAATCATCGATGCAAACATCGTTACATACTTTATAACTTGTTTCGTACCTTGCTTTACAAATTGACAATAAGGCATTGTTATGTTTCTTTTTTCATTTTTTTATGTTAGAATTTCATTACGATAATCCATTTTATATCCTTTCCACAAATACAAATGCTATACATTTCATGGTTTAAATCTATTCATTTATTTTATTATAATTGTAATATGCCAATTACAGAGTTATTTTGCATAAATAATTTGTAAATTTAAGTGTCGTGTTCAATAAAATGATTACATTTACTTATTAATGTTTATGATCAAATGAATTGTACCACTGTCTCTTATTAGCTACATAAAAAATTACACAAAAACCATCATCCAAGTAATGTATATATGGTTGAATATAATTTTATTAATATAGTATATTTATTTGTTGTATATAGAAGGTTGGCTCTACTATGGAGCCAACTGTTAGTTTAATAGCAAAACCGAGATGTATACAATATATATCAATGATAAGGTGTTCAATTATGAATAACTAATTCTCGTAGACCCTCATTACCACTTGAATTGCTTAGAGTTTGGATTACTTATCTTTTAGACTTGCACATTATTATTATTATTATGTGTTTTGTCGCAAGATATATTATATCTTTTGTTGCCGATTTAGCAAGCCAACATATTTATACATTAATATAAATACATTAATTTAAAAAATAATACAAATATGGTTATTCATAAATCAAAAGGGTCAACCCAAATCATGGCAAATTACACGTGTAACTATAAAATTGGCTTTCCCCGTTAACTTTCTGACACAGTCTGAAAACCATGTTTCCACCCACTCCACTCTCTATCCTCCGTTCAATCCTTCTCTGCCTTCCCCTCGCCGTTATCTTCACCTTCACCGCGCCCACCACCACCTCCGTCGTCTCGTCCGGCGGCGCCGCCACCGCTCCAACGTCTTCCACTAGCTCGACCAACAAAAGCCCAAACCCTGTTTTATTACCTCCTCGAAAAACACTCTCACTAAAACCCCAACAAATAAATAACCAAACCGCCGCCGCTAAATCCGCCCTTCCGCCGCCGATGCCACCACCGAGCCAGCCTCAGTCGGCCGTCGAAGACGATGACGAGAACGACGTGTCGCTGCTCCATCTCGCCTCCGGGGTCGACCCGAACCCGAAACCCACGGAGAAGCTCGCTTTCATGTTCCTCACCACAACCCACCTCCCATTCGCACCCTTGTGGGAGTCGTACTTCGCACGCGCCCCCAAGAGCGAGTACAACATCTACGTCCACGCCGACCCGCGGGTCAACCACACCGCGAATTTCCCCGGCGTGTTCTCCGGCCGGGTCATCCCGTCCAAGCCCACCCGCCGCCACACCCCGACCCTCGCCGCGGCGGCACGTCGGCTCCTCGCCCACGCGCTCCTCCACGACGGGTCCAACTCCATGTTCGTCCTCCTCTCGCCCTCGTGCGTCCCCATCCGCTCCTTCCGCTTCACCCGCCGGTTCCTGGCCGGGTCCAACCACAGCTTCATCGAGATACTGAAAAACGAGCCCCGAGCGTACGTGAGGTGGGCGGCGCGTGGCGAAAACGCGATGTTCCCAGAGGTGGAGTTCGCCGACTTCCGGATCGGGTCGCAGTTCTGGGCGGTGGTGCGCCGGCACGCGCGGGACATCGTGGCGGACACGCGCCTGTGGTCAAAGTTCAGGCTGCCGTGCTTAAAGGACGCCACGTGCTACCCGGAGGAGCACTACTTCCCTACGCTGATGAGCATGGTGGACCCGAGTGGGTGCGTGCCGTGCACGCTCACTCACGTGGACTGGAGTGGAGGCCACGGGGGCCACCCGCGGATGTACAAAGCCGATGAGGTGGGCCGGGAGCTGATAATGGGCCTGAGGAGTAGCAGGCCCAGGTACGGGGATGATGGGCCCGGCGGGTCGAACTCAACCGTGAGTTTGAGGAGACACGACCCGTTTTTGTTTGCTAGAAAGTTCTCGCCGGCCTGCCTGGATAGGTTGATGGCTATAGCAGATGACGTGCTCTTCAAAGACTGACATTTTTTTGTGTGATCCACACACATAAAACTACTGTATAGTGTGTTGCAGAATATTTGGAAAAATGAGAAAGGGGATGAACCCATTCCAAAATGTTGAAGTTTATTGGTAAAAAAATTGGTTTTTTGTCAATTTGTTTTTTTATTTTTTATTTTTTTTTTATTTTATCGAAACGATAAAGATAATATATACAAGCGCACAAATGTGCAAAGGTGCAGCCACGAGCTGAATACAGACAGCCAAACAGCTGAATACAAGCAGCCAACAGCTAAAAAACTGAGAGGACAGGTCATGAGACCGCCTAAAACCGACCCCAGAGGAGTAATACTCTAACAAACCAACTACACAAATAAAAACTAAAACTACTAAATAAGGTTCCACCGGGATAATACCCGAGTGTCTGATCCCAACAAGATAATAAGTTTGGCACTCGAGCGCACAGAGGCCAAATGGGCCAAACAAAAAACACAAACCTAAATAACACAAGCACGAACACAAGAAGAACAAACTAAGACAAAAAGGACCTAATCTACCAACACACAAGGCCCTCCCAGCGAGAAAGCCAAACCAGCACTATTACCATAAGAAAAAATCTATTACTAAAAAAAAAAAAATT